TGGCCCAGACAGAAGCACTCGACCATCAATGGTCTCTACTAACATCGGCGGATCCACCGGGCATTGGGGAATCGTCCATTTAGCGACAAATGCTGTGTCCATAAAGTTCGTAGTGGCCCCAGAATCAATCAACACATGGACAGGAATCCCCTTGGGCAACATAGGAAGAAGCAGGTGCGCCTCCAAGATCAGATGTTTTGGGGGTCCGTGGGCAGCATCAGAAGGACGTGATTCAGAGTTGCGGGACACCCGACCCAAAAGGCCTTTTAGGTAGGGCATGGCCCGTTTCCCAATAGGGAAGCCAGGGGCAGTCTTGGGACCAGCTCCATCACAGATGCCCCTCGTCACTTCTTGGGGCAGAAAGCAGCCAAATGTCCAGGGTCCCCACAATAAAAACACAACCCCCCTGAATGTCGCCTGTTCATCTCTGCCACTGATAGACAAGGTCTGGCAGCACCTAACTCCATTGGCTCCTCCCTCTGGACCAGGGTCGCACTCACAATGGGGGGCTTATGGCTCTCTGGGGTAGCACGGCGACTCCTTCGCTGCTACAGCCGGGCGTCAATCCTCAGGCAGAGATGAATGAGCCCATTAAGGTCCGGGGAAAGCTCAACACGGGCCAACTCATCCAACATCTCCTCCGACAAGCCATCTTGGAAAGCGTCCATGAGCGCAGCCTCATTCCAGGCTGAATCCTGGCTAAGCAGCCAAAATTCACTGATATAGCCCTGCAGGGGGCGTCGGCCTTGCCTCAGGGCTTTCAAATGCCGGGTAGTTGTCTGAGTCTTGATGGGGTCCTCATACATCAACCGCATGTGATCACAAAACCCCACAAAGTTGTCCAGCAATGGGCTACATTGGGCTAACAAGGGTGTACCCCAACAAGCTGCAGAACCAGAAAGCAGGCTTATCATAAACCCCACTATATCCCGGTCAGTGGGGAAATCCTCTGCTTTGACACTAATGTACAAGTGGCATTGTCCCATGAACACAGGAAACATGTCCGGGTTGCCATCAAATTTGTCCGGTCTCGCCACTTGGCATTTTCTCCTGGGTGGTAATGGAGCAGCAGTAACCTGGGCAGATAGCTGAGAAACTTGAGCAGATAACAAAGCCAGCTGCTGGGAGAGCTGGATGTTCTCAGCATGTAGCTGCTCCATGATAGTAGAGAGTGTGGCTGAAGGCAAAACTGTTCTATCCCAGCCTATTGCTGTCCTTGTTAAAGGCACAAGGACCAAACCCCTGCTGATGCAATAGGCTGGAGACTTTACAACAAAACAAAACTCTTTTAATATGGTTGACAAACCTGTCAAATAGTCCAAAACACAAACAGCAAAACTCAAGTCCAAAGGAAACACAATGCAAACAGACGAGTAGTCACAAGCAAGACAAACAGAGAAGTCACAAGCAAGACGAACAAACCAGGATTCCAAGAAGCACTTTGCAAATGATTGCCTTCAGCAACCATCACCACCCACATCTCCTCTCTTTATTGAGCAGTCCCAAGGCATTGCCTCTCATTGCCTTTTCTTTTTACTCTGGAGGTGCCTCATTGACTGCTGTTGATTTACTCTCACTAATTGACGACGTGTGCGGGCGTCAATTAGCAAGTCCATGAGGTGTGGGTCTTCCGGGTCTGACTCATGCTCCTCACACAGCTGAGCTTCATCAGGAACACGACTGGAGGGCCCAGACTCTGCATCAAACTGAGTCCTGTAATTCATCAGAGCCTCCCTCTGCCCCTGATGGCCCTTCAAATGCCTCCTCCACCTCCTCATCAGATTCCTCAGACTCAGCTGTTGTGAGCACAGGCTGGCACGGAATCACAACAGGGGCATCAAAGTCCTGGTCTGCCGGGCCTGGCAGGCAAGCTTGCAGGCCAGGCAGTCACAACTGCTCCAAGAAGGTCAGAGCGAGCCAGAGGTCCACCCAAGCACTTACAGGACTATGTAAGACTCCTGTCAGTAGGTGGGCAGGCGTTAAGGGTACTTAGAAATCAGAACATGCTCAAAAGACAAATGTTGATTTATAGTAACGCAAAATAGTAAGTATTACTGTGTTATGGTTGAAGGATTGACAAGATATTAGATTTGTAGTATTGTAAAATATTAAGTATTATGTTTTGAAATAAGAGGGGAGGGGTGTTATGTCCTGGGCCTGTTGAGTGACTCAGCAGGTGCAGGAAGTTGCAAAGTGGCCCGGGCAGACCACTTGGATGCCCGGGACCAGACAGGCTGTCTCCAACCTATTGTGCATGCACAAGGCGGGAGAATCCATTGCATTGATTGGCTGACACTGTCCCTGAAAAGGGGTATAAGAGGAATCAGTGTATTGGTATTGGTTCTGTTGTGATCTGAATAAAGAGAAGACTGTTGTTACTCCTGCCTCATCTCAATGCCTTTACATCGAAAACAGAACAGTATAGGTTCTCCTGTTGGACTAGAAGACCTCCAAAGTCCCTTCCAGCTCTATTCTATTCTATTCTATTCTATTCTATTCTATTCTATTCTATTCTATTTAGAATTTCGAATTGTAAAAATTTCAGTAATGCAACCGCTTCATGGAACTCATTATCTGCTCTAAAGCAGACCTGGCTTTATATATTTTAAAAAGTTACTGCTGAAAATTAGTTGGGCAACCAAATTGTGGCTGCAAAATGGGCCACAGGTAGTACTCAAATTATGGAGTCCAATATTTCCATTGCTAAGTAAAACAGTTGTTAGGTGACTTGTGCCCCATTTTGTGAACTTTTTTGCCCCCGTTGTTAAGGAACCCATTGCAGTTGTTAAGTAAATCATGGGGTCCTTAAGAGAAACCAGTTTTCCTCGTTGACTTTGCTGGTTGGAAACCAACTGGGAAGGTCACAAATGGTGATCACATGATTGCGGGACAGTGCAACTCTCAGAAATACATGCCAGTTGCCAGGTATTGATCCCGTGGTGCTACATTGATCATAAGTATGAAAAACAGTCATAAGTCACTTTTTTCAGGGCCATCATAATTCTGAATGGTCACTAAACAAATGGTTATAAGTCAAGGACTAGCTGTATATGATTGGGCTATAACAGAAGTCCCCAACCTTTTGGGCACCACGGACAGGTTCTGTGGAAAGAGATTTTTCCATGGACTGGAGGGGGCGTGGTTTTGTGTGCTGCCTGCATTTGGTGGATGGGGCTTTGCTTGTTTGTGCGGACCGGTTGCTGGCATGCCACGGCCCAGTACCAGTCCATGCACTGGGGGTTGGGGACCCCTGGGCTATATGATGGACTTTGTGACTGCACTTCACAATCTATAGTTCCCTTAAAGTTTAATTGCAGGCAGTGCTCCATGTGGGGAACAAGCTGGTTCAGAGGACTGAAAGATTCTTCTTCAATTGTCTGTGGGTAGTTTCTTTCTATTCAGCCAGGCCTGTGTTGATTATTTACATGGGTTTCAATCACCACCGTATCTGACCATCTGCTCTGTTAAAGGGACTCTATTTGCACAGAAGGAAATTAAGGGAAGCCTTGTCAACAGCCAGCTTTGGGGTGAGATGCTTTCAAGTCCCACCCCACCCTATCAGGGGGTCTTTCTTGCTGATTGCTACTATTTCTCTTCTTCAGCCCCATTAAAAAAAAGTCTTGCTGAGAAAGGCACAATTTTGTAAAAATTCCTACTGTATCTGCCAAATATTAACCTACCCAACTGAGGTACTTTGTGTTATAATCAGCAAAGATTTAACAAATGAGCATTGCCTAATGATCTGGCTGTCTGCCAAAAGAAAAGAGAGGCAGCTTCTCAGACTTTGGGTTAGAAATCACCTTTTCCAATCAAGCTTTCCTGCCTTGAATTCCAGATATTGGTTGTATTTTTACAAGTACAATGTCCAACAATCTCTTGAGGCCAAACTCATCTTCTTGGACCTGATTCCTTCTCACCTTCTTGCCCCTCTCACCATAGGAGGAAGCAATGTTCTGGGTCACTGAACATGCTCAGTTCTCACTGGATTATTTGAGGAAAGGTCCTCTCTTAAGCTGAGTTATGAAGTGTATCTTTAACTTTTGATCTTCCACAGACCCTGGACTTCACCCAAACCACCAACAACTATCCCATTTGTGGTTAATTGACAGATTGGGTTACAATTAACCAACCACCTTTCAACTTAGTGCGTGTTCTGTAAATCCAGCCCATGATTACTTTGTGATTTAAGGTGACATGCAAAGCCAGAAAATTGTTGATTAATCAGGAGCATGTGTGTTATGCAAATGCAGAATATTGCCTTCAGGATTCCCTTCGAAATTAAAAATGAGAAAAAAGAGGATTAAAGAAGACCCAGGTTTGCAGCTAGTTATTGTCAGCCATCTAAGTTGGACAAGAAAACAGACACTGTGTGGTTTCCAGGCTTGGCATTTTATTTGCTATAGGACAAATAGAAACTTAGAAGTCTACCAGAATTTTTCTCTGTCCTATCTTATACTAAAGAGAATCAAAGTGGGTTTATTTTGAGTTTCCTTCTCGTCCCTCTTACATTCCCAGGACAGAGTTGTCATTTTTCTTCCCTTAATGGTTTATCCATTCCATTTTCAAGGTCATTTCCACATTCTTTTATGGTTATCACATGGGGATTGACTGATATTTGGAAACAATTGCTATTTTTAAAAGAGGCTTCCATCTCTCCAGGTATAAAGATTCAAAAATACTACCCTGATGGAGTTATGCAAGAACAGTGCCTTTATGAACTGGTCTTTCCTCCTTTAGGGAATAAACACAGGGCCACTCCACCTCCCAACACACCAGTATCATGGGATTAATAGACCCAATTTCTTAATAGTCATTTAATCAACCCTACTCAGAAGAAATAACAGAATAACAGAGTTGGAAGGGACCTTGGAGATCTTCTAGTCCAACCCCCTGCAGGAGACCCTATGCCATTTCAGACAAATGGTTGTCTGTTATCTTCTTGAAAACCTCCAGTGTTGGAGCACCCACAATTTCTAAAGGCAAGCCATTTCTCTGATGAATTGTTCTGTCAGGAAATTTCTCCTTAGTTCTAGTTCTTAGTTCTTCTTAGTTTCTATCCATTGTTTCTTGTCCTGCCTTCAAGTGCTTTGGAGAATAGATTGACCCCCTCTTCTATGAGGCAGATTAATCTGTCCAAGCCATGTTTCTCAAATGGTGATTTCCATTTTCACCTGAAAGACTACAGAACCATCCCTTTCTTTGAAGGGAAAGTGGCGACAGCCAACTGGGAGGCTCCTTTCACAGGGATGGAACCATTTGCCTCTAACTGCACTCCCCAGTGTGACTTTCCACCACCGCCTTTGCTCAACACCCCCCCCCCCCCAGGAATACAGACTGCCAAATTCCGTGCAATCTGACACGTTTACAGAACAGCGGAGCTGAACTCAACCTTTGGACCTAAAAAAAAAAATGGCAAGAATCAGCAAGTTTATGCAGAAGTCCTATTGGACTAGCATTTCTGCTGCAGGATCTTCTCATTTTCATCTGTACTGAAGATGTTTGGACTTAGGCCAAAAAGCTGACATGCATGGAAGAACTCCAGGGCCTTCTGAACTGCCTCCCTGAAATGTTCACCTGTGGATCTGCCTTTAGAATGTATACCTGTGGATAGAAAACTAGCCCATTAGGGAGGAGACAAGTTTAGCCTTCACCCTGTCAAGCTACTTTTTCATGTGCCTGGATTTTACTGATTTGTTTTTGCACATAGTGTACCGTGTTCTAATATTCAGATTCAGCCTAGCCAAGGTACAAGTTTAAAGTCCCTATTAATGCACATGCTCAGGGTGGGAACCTGTGAGCCTACAGAAATTGTGCACTACAACTCCCAAGAGGCCTCATCAGCAGATCCAAGACTGAAAAATGCTAGGAGATTCTTGAGCAGAGATCTGGAGGACTACAAGCTTTTGATTTTTTTTTTTTTTAAGTTGTGCTGACAAGCCATTTCACCACTTTAATGCAAACTTTGCATGTATTCTATATTTTATATAAAGAGTTACATAGCTTTGAAATGATTAGGCATAGGTTAAGTGCAGATGGAATGGGCTAAACCATGCAGAGGTGGGTTGTTCTGCCTATTTCAGGTCAATTCTGATAATTTCTGGTATTTGTGCATTCTCTTCACAGTAATCTGCAAATTATTTTTAGTCTTTAAGATAGTGACTTTTCTAAGTACAGCTGTTAACTATGTCATTTCCCTCCAAATGCTTTATCTCTGCATGTAAATTCTCTTAACTGTCATACTTAAATTGGAACTATTCTCTTTGTAAGCATGCAATTATTTATTTTAGTAGGAAATAATTGAATCTACATCTTTAGCCAAAACATCTCTAAAGGATTTTCTTCAATCAATAAAAGAAGACAGACATTGCCCATAAGCTTACTTTCTGAAATACATATCCCAAAAGGAAAAAAAGATGGTGAGGGAAAAGGAAAAATGTCATATAACAAACAAGGAAAATCCTCTGCTTCTTCTCTTCACATTGCTTTCTGCTGCAGTCTTACAATTTATTTCCACATCCGGATAAAAGAGTAAAATCAGATTTAATTTCTGATCCAACATGAGACCAAGCTTTTGATGCAAGAACTAAGTTCAAACCCTGTTTCCAAGAACATCTCCCCAATGTTCATGTAACACAAGAAAACTCACCCAAGACAGTATTCCCAGTAGTTTTCCAGGAGGATGGTTTATATACTGTTTGCCTCAGACATTTTGGGCCTGAGCCAAAGCTTCAAATTTGAAGTCTCTGCAAAATAAAAGACAAGTGTAGCAATATCCAAACAAGGTCAAAAGTACTGTATGCCTAAATACTAATAGGCAACCTGTTCATTTTTACAGGCCATATTACTCAATGTTTCTGGCATGATTTAAAGGCCACTTCCTTGTGGAGCAGAGACTTGGTAAAAGGTGGAAGAGTAACATGGACAAAGAAACCCATCAGACCATCCCTGATTTCATGGATAAACATCTGCAACTGACCTTCTCAGCTAATTCAACCCAGGTATCTTAGTGACTTGTTAGCTAACTTGCTGAAGTTATTTTTTAAAAAATAACAAACCAGCAGAAACAAAAGCTGGTTCAGAACCAGCATCAGAAAGTCAGGCTTCTGCAGTTCCTCAAAAGTTCCTGGAAGTTTTGCTTCAGTTCTTTGTTGGTTGTATAGAGTCAGAAAAATGATTGTGATAGAGAAGTGCAGGAACTGTTGCTGAAGTAAAAGCCCTGAAACAATTTTAAGTCCTAAATATCCAGATAACATTTGGAAGCAACACAAGAAGAAACCTCCCTAATTCTCTCACATTTGTTAAGGGAATCACTGCTTTAAACGCACACTTTAACAAACACCACAGAAATGCAATTGTATAAAATAAGCCAATCAGTAAGGTAAGACTTGACAATGAGATTGCAGGCCATAATTGTCACCCACTAAACTAACTGTCAGCTTGGTTGAATAGATATTTCTAAATACAGGTGTAAAAACACATTTATTCCAAAAGCTTCTAAAATGGCATGGAATGTCTTCTAGCGTTGAAGCAGAAATGAAAATACTCTCACTCAGGAATTACCTTTTAAGCCAGTTTGGTGTATTGGTGAAGGTGCTGGCCTGGAAACCAGAAGACTGGGAGTTCTAGTTCCACCTTAGGTATGAAAGCTGGCTGGGTGACTTTGGACCAATCATCAAGAGACTGGGAATTCCAGTCCCGCCTTAGGCATGAAAACCAGCTGGGTTATGGCATTCCATGGTCTGCAGAAAGAGCAGGTTGGAAAGTTGTTAAGTGGATGAGTCCCTCAATGGCTCCTTGTCCTGATTGTTATTTACTACCTCTAGAATCTTAGGTAGCATCTGTGTTGATGAGCAACAATGGGAGATGATGATAGCTCTCCAGCTCATCTTGGTGAGTCTCCTCAATCCTTCCCTTTGTCTGGACTCTTGGACTAGGAAGCAACTCTTGGTGGACGTGCCTAGATAAGCACACTACTGAAGACCAGGAGATGAGCAAACAAGCACATTCCTCTCTTTGGGGCATACACCCTTCTCCTGTTGTTTTGTAAACAGGGAAAGACAATCAGCCGGAGGCCCCATTGGAGCTGAGGAATGTTAAGCATTTGAAAGGTTGCTTCTTTGATGAGATTGGAAGACAATGGTTGCCCTCCCCTTCACTTCTCTTCTGCTGGACCAACCCAGAGAACCTCATATGGAGGAGATGAGCTGTCTAAACCATTTCCAAACTAACACCACCCCCTCCCTGCCTGCAGTCAAAAAGGGTGTCAGTTATTTTGCTAATGTCAGCAAACTTCAGAGGCTGTGATGTGCTTCTTGGTATATCTGCACAGAATCCCTTTGCAATTGAAGCTATATGTTGTATATAGTATGTTTAAAAGTGTGTTATGTATGTGTACACTTTGGGAGCAAGCAACTAAATTTCATTTTCAATGTGTGCCGTTGTGCCCACAGTAAAAAATAACAATAAAGATTATCTAATATCTAAAGCCAGGCAGATGATTCCATTTCGAGAAGATTCAGTTTTTCCAGAGTGGCAATGCATTGCTCAGTGTAGGTGGGTGGGTTCTTGGGATTTCTCTCCCCCCCCCCTTTGCATTTGTGGCTCCCTTAACTAGAACAGAAAACATAGTATTGCTACAATAGCCAGAGAACCATCTTTCTGGAGAGCAGAGTCACCCCACCAGGCGGCTAGAAAGGGAGGGGAAAGGCAGCAGATTCCAGATAAGTTTAATGGTAACAAATTGTAACTTGTTAAAGGCATCAATACCACTTGCTATCACATTCTATTTAAATGGTAATGACACCCAGTTGAGCTCAAGGCCTGATAAGTACATAGAAGCTTGTTTTTTTTATTATTATTTTTAAACCAACGAAACAAAACATAACACACATACACACACAGTGTATACTCCTCCCTTTTTTTAACAGCGATTTCGTAACGGTAATCTTCTATTATTTACATTTCCCCCCCTTATTCTTCTTTAGAATATTTGTCCTTGTTGCCCCATTGTTTCTTATTTACATTTTTCTTCCTTCATACTATACTTCATACTAATAATAATACATATTATTATTACTATACATTATTATACACACATTTTCCATTTTCGACCTTTCCACATTTATTCTCCTCTATTATTTCTAGTCTCCAACCAGTCATACCACTTTTTCCATATTAGATAGTACTTTGTGTCTTCCTTTTCTTTTATCTCTTTTGTTAATTTGTCCATCTCAGCACAATCCAGGATTGTTCTATCACTTCTTCCTCTGATGGTATATTCTCATTTTTCCAGAACTGTGCGTATGCTATTCTTGCTGCCGTTGTTATATGTAGAATTAAGTAGTGTATTTCTTTACTATATTTTCTGTTTAAAATACCCAGCAAAAAGATCTCTGGTTTCCAATCTACGGGTTGGTCTATTATTTCTTCGATCCATCTTCTTATTTTAGTCCAGTATTTTTTCGCAACTGGGCATGTCCACCATAAATGATAATATGTTCCATGTACTTTTTTACATTTCCAACATGTTGGCAAATTGTTCTGGAACATCTTGGCAAGCTTTGCTGGTGGAAGATGCCATCTGTAAAACATCTTCAACTGGTTTTCCTTGAATGCCACTGACATAGTCAATTTTATGCTTATTTCCCATATTTTTTCCCATTTCTCCAATTCTATATTATATCCAAAAAATTTTGCCCATCTAATCATTGTGTCTTTGACAACCTCGTCTTCCATTTTATATCTCAATAGGTATTTGTATAAATTGCTAATTAATTTTATTTCTGTTCCATGTATACTTTTATCCAATTTTTGCGGCTCTTTTTGTATTTCATATAATTTTTTGTCCTCTGTATATTTAGATTGAATTTGTGTAAATGTCCACCAGTCAATCTCTCTGCCTATATCTTGTTCCAATTCTTGTTTTGTTTTCATATTTCCCTGTTCATTTACTAATTCCTTGTATCTAATTATCTTATTTATATCCAGTAGGTTTGGATGTTTCAGAGCTTCTGTTGGGGATAGCCACATTGGAATTCTTATATAATGTTTTTGTTTTATTTTTTCCCAAGTCTGTAGCAATGCATTCCTAACTATGTGTCTTTGAAGGTATCTGTGTATTTTATATTTTTCGTCCCATAGGAATGCATGCCACCCTGCTTGCAAGTCAAAGTACATAGAAGCTTAATAGTTTTCTTGGCAATAATATGGGAATAGTTTGTTATCTTTTCACAGAGGTGATTTTTTTTGATTTCCCAGTCAATCCAGGATGTTACATATAAATCTCAGTTTTCATCTTTGCAGCTTTATCCTTCAGCCAAAACAATCCCAACTATTGTATGTATAAGAAGGAAGCAATAGAACCCTTGAGGGAGCTTGAAAGAGGCCCTGAGTTCTATTTTTCTGCTGAGTTTCTAGACAGTCAGGGGAGGGGCATGCCACGAAACCTAGTTTACGCAAGATTTTTTTCCCTAGGATTTTCCTAAGAATTTTACGGATCATTGCAGAAAAGCAAGAAATGATGTTGCTGATTTTTAGTACGGTAAGTGGAAATGGGAGGGGTGGAAGAACTGCCAGAAACAATTTGGAGTACATGTAGCCTTGGGAGTCGACAACTACCTGTAGTGCGCTCTTTTGTTGCAGTGCCCAAATGGTGTGCCTTCTTTTTCCTATCTCCTTGTTGTTGTTCTTCTTAGTTCATGGTCCTAAGAAACTCAGGGGTGGCAACTGCTTCCAATCCTCTCTAGTTCTATAGCCCAAGTTAGTTTTGCAAGCCCCACAGCCAAGTAGGGGGGAACTGAGAGCTTCCTTCTTTGGCTGGGAGCCAGGTATTTTTAATGAAGGATGCTCCAAGGATGACAATTTCCTGTCTCAACATGTGTATATTTTGGTAATGATTTATAAGGGAATTTGATGAGTCAGCAGTTCCTGCAACTTCTTCTCCTCCATGAAATTATTTCAGGAGCCTTCTTTCAGCCTATCTGCCTCACCCTACACACGTAAACACACACAGACACCCACAAAACTGATAGGAGAGCTGTCAGGACTTGATAGAGGAAAGGCTTAGCCCTTTCAGTAACAGAAAAATAGTGTTAGAGCTGCTGTTTCCCGTGCCCCCCCCCATTTTTTGCCAGAAGAAAGGAGAATATCTCCTAAATCAGGGTTGGAGTTATGAGGACACTGAGCCAGAAGAGTTATAAGATAAGATAAATTTTATTGTCACTTTTTTCTGTGGACACATTGGGACACATGAAAAAATGAAATTCTGATATCCTCCCTGCCCCCCCCTCTCTCTATATATATGTGTGTGTGTGTGTGTGTGTGTGTGTGTGTAGTGTATATATGTGTGTATATATGTGTGTGTATATATACATACATATACATATATTACATACATATACATACACATATGTATGTATATGTATATTTATATACACCAGTGGTCCTCAACCTGTGGGTCGGGACCCCATTTGGGGTCGAACGACCATTTCACGGGGGTTGCCAAACAACGCAGTCCGCCAGGAGCCAATGAACAATTTGGTGGTGGCCATCTATGCTGAAACACATTCAGTCTTAGCTCCACAAGGCTGTCTGGAAACAGCGAGGAACCAGCCCCTGCCACGTCAGCCCCACCCCCTGGGTGCATGCTAGGGAGGTGTCACCCTTTGTGAGGAATGAAGAAATGCACCATCACCTGGAAGTGGCCAGCAAATGGCCCTCGCCTACTTCACATATTCAGCTTGATGGGCTCTGGGGGAGGGGTTTTGGCAGGCAGCAGGGCGCTCTCCTCACAGCACCAAGAGGCTGAGCCAGGCGGCGCAAATCCCAAAAGAAACGCGAGGACGCCTAGCTCCCAGCCTGCCTGGTTTCAGCAGGCAGCGGGGCGCTCTCCTCACAGCACCGAGAGCTGAGCTGGGTGGCGTGAATCTGATGAGAAGTGCAATGCTGCCTAGCTCCCAGCCTGCCCAGTTTCAGCAGGCAGCAAGGTGCAAAGTTGGCGAGCTTCACACTGCCCGGCTCAACTTCTCGGTGCTGTGAGGAGAGTGCCCCGCTGCCTGCTGAAACCACACCCACCCAGTAGGCCACATCCACTCCATCCACGCCCACCCAATAGGCCGCACCCACCCTGGCCACACACCCCTGCCCCCCCCCCGAGGGCAACTGCAATGCTGATGTGGCCCTCAATGAAATTGAGTTTGACACCCCTGTCATAGAGTAATAATGGGAAAAATGTAAACAGATTTTTCACCTTTTAAGAAATACTAGCAAATGCCATTTTAAAATTCATCTGCTTCCATATTCCAGTGTTGTTACATAAAATATCCCAGTAATTACAGCATGAAAAGGGAGAAAAATGTTCTTAGAGCAAAGAATAAATGGCTTTATATTCTATATCAGTGGTTCTCAACCTGTAGGTCGGGACCCCATTTGGGGTCGAACGACCATTTCCCGGGGGTCGCCAAACAACGCAGTCCGCCATTTTTTTTCCCCTTTTCCTTAGCTGTGCTACTCCCTTTTATTCTATTGGCTTTTGAAAGCCAATAGAATAGACTCTCTTGAATAGAGTCTAATTCTATTGGCTTTCAAAAGCCATAGGAATTGTCCAGGCTGTCTCTGCCCTGCTGAGCCCGCCAAAAGTCCCATTCTGCAAACGGTGCTGCACCAGTTGAGTAGTCCTCGACTTACGACCGGTTGAGTAGTCCTCGACTTACGACTGGTTGGGGGTCGCGGCATTAAAAAG